CTCCAAACTTCAGCAGAGGATGAGAGGCCACCAATGTGTCTGTGAGCCCTTGAGAGAAGGGAGAGGTATTTAATGACTGCCAGCAGTTTTGGTACCCTCCTGTGCACCTATTAAATGATTAGAAGAGCATAATTATTTATATTATTAATAGCAGCAATTTRCAGCCAGAGGAACATCTGTTTCTGTAATAGGAAGCAGGTGAGGGAGTTGAGATTCAAGTTGGCTTCTGACCAGGCTGGCCTTTTGATGTTGACAAATCTCGTGATGAGGACAGCTTTCCATTTTTTGGGGTTTTTTTTGTTTCCCATTCAGATTCTTCTTCCTGCTTAAAGTTCCAAAATGGCTGCATATTCCCAAGGATGCTAAAATAAGGCAGGGATGGGATAAAACACATCAATGTCATCAAGCAGGTACAATAAAGTACCTCATAGCAAAGGCTGAGCCAGATTTTCACTGCCATGTCCTTCACAGGTTACTTCTGCTTGTAGGGCTTGGCATTGCCCTTCCCTGGGGTCTGGGGCTGGAAGGAGAGCCTGATGTTTTTCTCTGGCTCYCCTCAGTGATTTTAATTAATAATTTGAGAGTATTTGGTTGTCAGAGGCAAAGCTGGAGGCCGGAGAAGTGAGGCAGTGCTGCAGAAGTCTTGTGAAAGCAACGACCTTGTTGGGAAACGCCAACACAGAGAGCTTAAAGCAACAAACTGAAGGAAGCTGGAGAGCAGCTGGAACATGGAGTAAATAAACAGGGGTTGGGTTTGTTTCTCCAAACAACCAAAAATGTGGCCCTGACTGAGTCTCGTTCTCTTTCACACACTGAGAGCTGAGAGTTGAGCACTGGTGGGCTTTGCCTGTGGACAGAGGTGAAGGGTTTTTTTGTGTCTCCACGGGGTTATTTGTAGGGGTGAAGGCAGCCAGGGTAAGAAATTGTTCTGGGAGATGTCCTGGGGCACAGCCAGCCAGCCCTGGTGCCCCTTCCTGAGGAACAGCCATGGGCATCAGCTGCTCTCTAACCGAGGCTGGAGTAAAGCTTATTTCCAAATATAAAAAAAAATACTTTTAATATTTTGCAAATATAAAAAAAAATATTGGCAGTTGTGCTCAGAGAATGAGCCTGACTTTTCTTTCTAACTTTGTGCTCAGCAATGGTAGCACGAAGCTGCTCTGTTGGTTTGGTGTTCCAGAGGCTCYGTGCTGGGAAGAGTCTGATCAGCTTCAGGTTTTGCAGTGGGCACAAAACCCCAYTCCTGAGTGCTGCTCAGCTCTGTGGGGCTTTGATTGTGGGGCTTTGCATCCTCCATGCAGTTCTGAGCTCGTCTCTTCACAGGAATCTTTGAACCCGGGATCAATCAGACTGCAATAGAAGAAATCTGCTTTTATGTTTTCCAGCCTGTTTATTTTTTGTTTGTTTGCTTGCTTTAAATATCTTTGAAGTAGGTGGGAAGTGTTTAGGGCTGATAAAACAGGCAGGGCTGACCATCCCTGTGCTGATGCAGGCAGGGGGGTGGGGATGCTGCACCCCTGCCAGCCTGGGACACTGCCCAAGGACAGGGATGTTCCTTCTCGTGGTTTGCTCAATCTTCCTGCAGAAATCTGTCAGCTGAGAGCTGTGTCTGTGTGAGAGCAGCATCTTGCTGACAGTGGGACAGCCCTGCTCCCTCAGGCTGTGATTTCACTGTCTGGGAAGCATTTGCCTTGCCCTGGGCAGGCGAGTCGGGGTCACATCCCCAGCGTGGAACCTGCCCTGTCCTTACAGCCACACCGAGTAAGTGCAGTGATTGAAATGGCTTAATATTAAATATCCTCAGCTCTGTTTGATTTTTYCCAGGAGCTGATGGGCTGCAGCTCAGCCTTTTTTCATTCTGAAAATGCAAGCCCGAGGCTGTGCTGGTTGATTGTGGCTGCTGACGCAGGGGGGTGATGGATGAGGTGCTGGAGAAGCAGACCAGATTCTGGCTGCTCTGGAAGGTAGGATTGGTGGCCTGGTGGATTTGTTGTGCTCCAGCAGGTGCTCAGAGGTAGGAAGTATTCCCATATTCCTGCAGGAAAGTGTCCAAAAGATCTGTCTGTGGTGGTCCTTCAAGGAGCAGGGAGGAAAGGAAGGAGAGCTGCTTCCACAAGGGAAATTCTGAGTGAAGACTTAGCACTTCTAAAAGATGCCTCTCCCTTATAATGACTTTTTCTAAATCTGTGTAACCTCTGCTGTGAAATGATTCCAGCAGCACTGATGGGGGGGTTGAACCTCKGAGTCATTTGGATTTAAACTCAGTAATTTAGCATCACTTCAGACTGCCCCACTATTGGCTTGAGGAAGTTTTAAAATCCTCTTCCCAGGTATTTAATGTTCCCCTCTCATCTTGCTGAGTACATGACCCTTCTTCCCAGCATCCATGTAAAATACAGCAGGAGTTCACAGCTAAGGAAATGCTGCTGAGACTTGTTTTATCTTGATGCCAGGAGAGAGGATGATGAGGAAGATGTCACTTCTTGGAGCCTGTGGCTTGTGGCAAAGCCATCCATTCCATCAAGAGTAAATCTCTTGTTGTGGGGAGAGAGAAATTTTCAGAAATTGTTGGTTCTGGGCAGTCTGAAGTTCCTTTGGCTGCAGCTCCAGACTCCAGCAGTGCTCCCAGTTTTGCTGGGGTGTCTGGTTCCTCAGTGCACTTTTCCCAGCCCGTTTCCTTTGGTAGCTGGGCTGTAGGAAATGCCGTGGCTGTGATGCTGCTGTGGCCATCAGGAGCAACATTCCTCTGCTTGATGTGGYTTTTGTGCATCCTCTGCTTGATGTGATTTTTTTTTTTTAGAGCAAGAAAAGAGAATAAGCAGGTTCTCTCTCTTGCCCAGCTAGAATTCCTTCTTTTAAAACTTTCTGTCTGTATGGCCACAGCCTGTTTTGGCATTTCTCTGAGCAAAACAGAATGACTGTGACCTCTTGGGTGACCTCAGGACCATCGTCCTTCCCTGGCAGGGACGAGCCCTCAGACAGCAAACCCTGCCAAAAACCTCTGGCAGAGCCCAG